TGGTTTGGGGGGTCTTATTTCAGATGGTTTTGAACATTGTAAAACGAAATGCCTCATTTGGAGGAGGTGAGGAGACAGGAATAGGGTTTGGAATTTGAAGAAACAAGAAAAGTTTTACAAGAGCCTCCATGGGAAACAATCAGATAGACCATATAGAAATCAGCAGACACTCAAGCACCAATGGAGATGTAGATGAAGTTTGGTAGTGTAAGTTTATTGTGAATCACCTAACAAAGTACAGTGTAAGTGTGACATTTTCTTATAGCATCTCTTTGCCCCAGAGGACAGAAAGCTGATTGTAAACCAAATCACATTGGTGAGGGCACTGATGGGAATAGCTTTGAAATAGTTGGCTTGGGTTCAGAGTTCATGCTAAGTGGGTTCAAGACATGGAATGAGGCTTTCATTATGGTGACAAGGTGAAGAAGTTACCAGAAGAGGGGAATATATTCTAGTTCCCTGGAGTCTTGAGTTTCAAGTGTATTATCACATGGCATAGTTCAGAGGGCTTAGGCAGTAAGTAACTGGAGTCCAGCAAAGTATAAAATTGAGTAGGTAATATCTACATACTTTTGTTTCCCTCTGGTACTGGGGATTGAACTCAGCACCTTGTGCTTGTGCAGTGGTAGTGGTGCCACTTAGCTAAGTCCCTGGCCCTGCAAATGTCCTATAAAGGCCAGATACTAACTGTTGTAGGCTTCATGGGCATACAGGCTGTCACAACTATTTGACACTTGTGGTAGCATGACAGCAGGCAGAGAACAAATGAGCATGACTGTGATCAGTAAAAGTTTTTGGGCCCTGAAATTTGAATTAGCTGTAATTTTCATGTTATCAAGGGTTCTTTTGATGTCCCCCACTTCCACTTAACATGTTCCTGCCAACCTGATTTGCTGGTGATACATGCAGGACTATCTCATCGGGTGGCTTGTACCACTGGTGGTAGAAGTGGTACAGCCTTGTGTGGGACAGTGATGCCACCCAGCCAGCAGCAAGACATATATACAAACCTGTAGCCTCATCATGAACATTTTAAAAAATGTAAAAACCATTTTTATCCTACTAACCATACAAAAACTGATAGTGTGCTGCATTTGGCTAGGAAGCTGTAGTTTGCCAGTCTTTGCTTAGAATATTATAGAAGTCAAGGTTTTAACTACAAAATGTAATTTTAGAGATTGTTTCTCTGAGACTGACATGGAACTCACTATGTAGTCCAGGCTGGTCTTGAACTTGCAGTGATCCTCCTGTCTCAGCCTCCCGAGTGCTGCGACTACAGGCGTGCGCCACCACACCCAGCTGCACTTGACTTGTAATGCAAGGAAACAAGATTGTTTTTTAACATTTGAACCAAAGCTAATCAGTCAAACTACAGAATACTAGATGTTACTTAGACCAGTTTTGCAGTGGCTTTTGATTATCTAGTTTGAAACTTACCCTAGAACTCCGATGCTTAAATGCTCTGTGGGGCTGGGATGTGGCTCAGTGGTGTGTTGTAGTTAGCATATGCAAGGCCCTGGGTTCAGTCCTCAGCACCAATTTTTAAAAAAGGATTTAATTGTGGAAAATTGATTTTTATTTTACAAAGTTTTAAAATACAATATTTATTTCTAAATATTATCTCTGAAAATAGATTCTGCTAAGAAAAAATGTAAAAAAGCTGAAAAGAGTACCTATTTAGCAAGGTTTTTCCTTCCTATTCCTGTTGACATTAGTTCCTTTCGCCCAGGATGGCATATTATAAAACTTAAAAAAAACAAAACCACTGGGCCATGTCTATACTGGACATGGTGCTGAATACCTGTAATCCTGTCTACTCAGGAGATTGAGTAGGATCTAAAGTTTGAGGCCAGCCTGGACAACTTAACAAGACCCTTGTCTCACAAAATAAAAAAGGTCTGGGGTTATAATTAGGTGTTAGAGTACAGTACTTGTCTAGCAGTCATGATAACCCTGGGTTGAATCCCAAGTACCACAAAAAACATCTAAAAAAACACCGTTTTGTAGTAACTGCTCATTGAAGAGTATTGTATAAGCCAGGTGTGGTGGTGCTCGGGAGGCTGAGGCAGGAGGATCACTGTGAGTTCTCCCTGCATAGTGAGTTCCAGGTCAGTCTCACCTACATAGTGAGACTGTGTCTCAAAAAACCAAAACAAAAGACCAAAAAAAAGAAAAAAGTGTTGTACAGTACCATATACCCTTCTACCTTGTTTTAACCTATTAAAGATCAATTTATAGAAGTATAATTTTTGGGTCCTACAGTATATATATTTGTGATTTTGTTGCCAGATTGCCCTCCATTGAACCAAATTTATACTATCACTACCACTATCCAGGAATACCTATTTCACCATCCCTTCACCAGTAGCAAGTTTGTTTTTTTTTTTTACAATCTGGTAGGTGAAACTTGGAAATTGTGGTTTTTCATTTCTATTGACATTTTTATAATACTCTTTTCTATTTTCAATTCTCTGTAGACTTTGAACCTTTTTCTATTGGATGGTTGGAATTTTCCCTTTTTGATTTATTAAGAAAATGTTCCTTTACAACGATCAGTTATAAATACTTGTTTTCAGTTTGTTGTGTGTTTTTGTTTTGTTTTCAATTAGTTATCTTTTGACTTCTCTAAGTTCATTTTTGGTAATATTCATTTTATCAGTAATTTTTTCCTTCCCTCCCCTTTCCTTCTTTCCTCCCCTGTTCTCCCCGCCTCTCCTCCCCCAGTACTGTACCACTGAGCTACATCCCAGCCCTTTTTTATTTTTGAGACAAGTTCATGTTGAGTTGCCTAGGATAGGTTTGAATTTGTGGCCCTTGTACCTCTTATCCTTTGAGTAGCTGAAATTTCAGGTGAAGGCCAGAACATTAGGCTTAGAGTTCAGGTTTTATGTCATAGTTAGCCCTTCCCTCTGTTGCGATTATAAACTTATATATATATTTTTGTTTTGTTTTGTTTTGGTTTTTTGAGATAGCATCTCACTGTGTAGTTGAGACTGACCTGGAACTCACTGTGTAGCCCAGGCTGGTCTTGAATTCAGTAATCCTCCTGTCTCAGCCTCCTGAATGCTGGTATATTTTTCGTTTTAAAAATACTTTTGTGGTTTTATTTTCTACAAGTAAACATTTTACCCATCAGATATTTACTTTGTTTTGGGTGTTAGGGGTAGATTTTACTTTTTTTTCTAGATATTTAACTAGTTATCCTAACACATGAATTTTTTTGAATAATTTGCTCTTTCCCACTTACTTGATTTTTTTTTGGAGATAGGGTTTCTTTGTGTAGTTCAGGCTGGCCTTGAACTTGTGTCAATCCTCCTGCCTCAACTTCTTTGTAAGTGTTGGGATTGTAGGCACACTGCCATGCCTGGCCTTATTTTCCATTTATTTTAATGCCATCTATATTGTAAATGAAATACTGGCATAAATTTGGGTGAGCTTCTCATTTATTCAGCAGCAATGACTGAGAATTCACATTTTTGCCACTCAAATGTCTTAGATTTTAGCTATTCCAATAGGTGTGTAGTGGCATCTCATTGTTTGAATTTTGAAGTCCCTAATGATACACGATGTAGATCATCTTTCGATATGTTTATTTGGCCACGTGTATATATTTTTTTTGTTGTTGAGGTGTCTTGGGGGTCTTTACACACCTTTAAGGTAGGGTGTTATTAAGTGTGAAAGTTCATTGGATATTTTGGATATCATATTAGATATCTCTTTTATAAATCTGTCTTCTTTTGTTTTTGTTGTGGTACTGGGGGGTGAACCCAGGGCCTTCTGCATGTTAAACAAATGGCTCCACTATCAAAATACATCTTCAACCCTTTTTGTTTATTTAAAAAATTTTGGGGGGAGAAAGTCTCATTGAGTTGCCCAGATTGGCCTTCAACTGATGACTCTTCGCCTCCGCCTCCCTAGTAGCTGTGATTATAGGTGTGTGTCATTGTACCCCACTACAAATCAGTATTTTTCTTAAAGTGTTGCTGAGTTCCATAGTAATAATTTAGAGTTTGTGTGCTACAAAGAGATATGTCTCTGTATATTCTTAATGGATAAAATAAATTGTACAGTGATTTGGACTGTTTTAGGAGTTGAAACTGTAAATAAAGGTCAGTACCCTATTGTTTGTTTTGTCTTTTTTTTTTGTACCAGGGATTAAACTCAGGACCTTGTACTTGCAAGTCATGCGGTGGTACCACTGAGCTAAATCCCTGGCCCTTCTCTGTGTTTTGAGACAGGGTCTTGCTTTGTAGTTCAGGCTGGCCTTGGACTCACTATCTAGCCCAGGTTGCTCTCAAAACTCATGGCAATCCTCCTGCTTTGTCCACCTGAGTGCTGGGATTCCAGGCGTGTACCACTAATTAGAACTCACATCAAAATACCTGAGTTTATCAGTAAATTTTCCATAAAATTTATCTACTTTAGCGTATCTTCATTTGTGGTGCTCTGTAAAAGTTGGAATTATTCATTGCAAGTACTGAGAAACTCCTGGAATGTGGTTAACTCTTCCAAAATGGAGTTCGGGGTTATCTGAGAAATGAGACAAGAGGAAGGAGATGGCTGGCATTTGAGGGTCACAGGGATCCCCTGTGTGGAAAATAATGTACACAATAAAAGAAATCTGGTGAAGTCCTCCCAAACTATTCTTTCCTTCTAGGAAAGACACCTACTGCATGTCTTGGGTAGAGGAGAAACAAAGCTCAGAAGACCCTCATTTTTGAAGGAGATAATTGTAAGAAGGGAGGATTATAATGGCAGGACCTATCACCTAATAGGGTAGAAAGAATGCAAGATCTCTGCAGCATTTAATATTCAGATTTTTGAAGAAAGGTAAATTAATTGTCTGCAAAAAAGATGCAGATTCCCACACACTGTTAAAAATGATATCTAAGAGAGATGTGTTCAGCCAACCTATAGTCTACTAAGTTTAGATTGGCAACTTTCTTTCGTATTTGAGTGTTGGGAGTTCCATTAATACAGTGGTGATATTCTTTTGTCAGTCTGCAGGTGTACTGTTAGAGCCATGCAGTGACCATGGTGATAGTGAAGATGGCTGTCCAGAGAGGTAAGCCTTTCTGTTGTTGCAACAAATCAGTTTCAGAATTAGAGCTCTTCACAGATTCTGGGTGAAATTTTTAGATGAATGTATCCATTTTAATAAAATTTAGGTAACCCTATAAATTTTTCATGCTTTTTTCTTTAATAATAGGCATAAAGCTTATCAAGTCCACAAATGCTCAGTTTCTCAGCTTCAAACAGACATTAGTTATAATTTGAAAAATATTCAGAGGGAAGAACATAGCCTTCTTGGAGATAGTGTAAAACTTATTTAGTTGATTTATAGAACAAATGGGACTTTATTAGTATTCTGTGTATACCTGTCAGTGCAGTCTTAGAACTGTGGCTAAGTAACCAAAAATTGTAAGCCAGAAATGATAGTCTATGACTGTAATCTCAGTGCCCTGGGAGGCTGAAGCAGGAAGAGTGCAAGTTCTAGCCCAGCCTGGGTTACTTGGTGAGACCCTGTATCAAAATAAAAACTAAAATGGATTGGGGTTGTAGCTCAGTGCAAAGGCCCTAGGTTCAATCACCAGTACCCCCCCAAAAAAATTATATAGGATGTGTTTTTTTAGTTCTGGGGATCAAACTCAGGTCCTTGTGATTGGGAGGCAGGCAGCAGAACCACTGAGCTAAATCTCCAGCCCTAAGGATGTTTTTCTTCCTCTTTGAAATAATCTTTGTGTGGTCTAGTACAATCTTAATTCAAGTTGCTATTTGTTTACATACTTGGCCAGCTGTGATATAGGGAGAGAGATGCTCAAGGCAGTGAGATTTCAGCCACATATATAGATATGTCTCAATAGGTAGAATCTTTTTTAGTATAAGCTTTCTAGAATGAGTCACTGGGTAGGATTTGGTTCACGTTATTCTTTGCATTATTCTTTCAGATGCTGTCAAGAAATGTATTACAGCTTTCTTAGGAAAGGTGAATTGATATTCTGAAAATACATTAGTAAATTGCAAACTCAGTTGTAAATATTGAGAAATCGAAAATGACTAATTTGCTGATCGTCTGCTGACTAGGATAAACTTTGTTAATGCCATTGTCTCTCTTAATTATGAGTAGGAAACCAGTTGTCTGAGAGTAAGTAAGTTCTTTGGAGCCGTGTCTCTGGAGTGTCCCATACTCTGAAGGTCCACAGATTTCCTGCTTACAGCAGATCCTTGTGCTTCCTTTCAGGAGGCAGGAATGATCCTCTTGCAGCCCAGGGAGTTTTGGAGTTATGGGCTGAAGATATAAGATAAACAGCATTAACAGGCATCCCCAGAATGATGACATCTGGATATGATAAAACAATAAGGATCCATTTAGTGAGGACTCAATGTTTTTGGCAAAAGCTCTTTCCTCTTCAACTTGTGTATAGGTTAGCAAATTTATTTTTAGATCCCAAAAGTACCTTGGTTAGGTGGATTGCATTTTGCATGTTTAAGACTTATGTTCCTCATATTTAGGTGATTAGGTTTTTTTAGTCTGCTAGGGTAGCATCTACTCATCTACCATTTACTCCCACCTCAAGCAAAGGAAAGGCCTTGAGTTTGTCAGGGAACTGCTCAGCAAGAACACAGTAATTATGTGTATGAGATTACTTACCATATGTAGATCAAGCCCTCTCTTTTAAGTTTGCATTTTATGGCTGGTTACTTAGGTTTACTGTAGATTTATTGGGAGAAATAACTTTTCCCACAGTAGGCATACTATAACCTACTATAATAGCTGATTTGTTAACTGGTCAAATATGTAGAGATCATTTGCGACAGTTTACCATAACACTGGTCCCTAATATAGGTTTAAGTTGGGTAACACTTTTAAGATTTCTTAGGTACATATACAGACCTACACATTTTTGCATATAGTGTACAAGGATTAATTTCTCTATGTACAGGGATTTCTCAGCAAGACTCTTACTGGTTAAGTGTTACTGCTATCTTTTGAGAATAGAGTATTTTAAAGTAACCTTTGATTGCAGTTTAACCTTCTGATAAAATAGATTTAAAATAAAGCCATAGGTATACTTTTTAAAAAACCCTTTAAAAGTCTCAGTGGGAGAAATAAACTAATTTGATTAAAACTAAACATTTATTTTATAAGGTCTTTTCCATTAAACATTTATACTTTTTGTTTATTGTAGATTTTAATTTTCTTATTATTTTTATTATGGAGGTGGTTTGTGTTGGGGTGGGGACATTGCTTAATTTTTCTACATCTGAAGTGATTCTGTGGATCTTTTCAGTATTGTGATTTTCAGATATAGGGCTCCAAAGAATGGGCATAAGCCCAGTTATTTTCTTCATCCACATTTTAAATGCTATCCATATTGAGGAAGAGAGGAATCTAGAAAAAAATATATAATATTAGCAGCCTTTTTATTCTCAAAACACTAATAACTTTACTTGTATTTTTAGGAAAGAATATTTGGTATTTGACAGTGATAAATTGTCGCATTTGTTTCTGGTAAGAACTATTCATTTTATAGTTCTTTAAAAAAATTGCTGAGTTGACAGGTGTGGTGGTGGATGCCTGTAATCCCAGTACCCAAGAGGCTGAGCTGGGAATCACTGTGAGTTTGAGGCCAACCTAGGCTACATAGGGAGTCCAAGGCCAGCCTGAACTATGCAGTGAGACCCTGTCTCAAAAAAAACAAAATTGCCTAGGTTTATATATCAGTATTATATCGGGCCTTTAACTCTTATCAAATGTTTTGTTAAGGAACTTAATTTGCCACTTTTGATTATAGGATTCTTAGTTATGAAAATACTTTCATGAATTTGAGATTTAACTTTGTCTTCCAGTAAGACATATTATAAAACTGTAGGTTTAGCTGAGTGTGGTGACAGACCTACAATCCCAGAAATTGGGAGAGGCCAAGGCAGGAGGATCGCAACAAGTTTGAGACTAGGCTGGACTGCATAGTGAGACCCTGTCTCCAAAAAACAAAACAAAACAAAACAAACTTGCAGGTTTATATTTGAAAATAGTTTGGTTGGTGGGAGTGCGATAATTTACTGTATAGGCACAGTAAGCTACTAACAATTACACTAGGGCCAGGTGTGGTGGTGCATTCCTGTGATCCCAGCTATTCAGGAGGCTGAGACAGGAGAATTGCAAGTTTGAGGCCACTGTGTGCAATTTAACATGGCCCTGTCTCAGAAAAATAATAACCAGGCAAAGGAAGCAACCAACAGAATGAAGAGAAAACCTACAGAATGGTTAAAAACTAGCCAGCTACACTTCAGATGGAGGATTGATATCTAGAATATATAAAGATGCTGGGGATTTAGCTCAGTGGTTCTGGTGGCTGCTTTGCAAGCGCAAGGATCCGAGTTCGATCCCCAGTACCAAAAAAAGAAAAAGAATATATAAAGAACTAAAAAACAAATTAGACCCCCTAAAAAACAAAAGACACACAAAAAAGGGCAACTGAAAATGAATAGATACTTCTCTGTAGTACAAATGGCCAATATATACATGAAAAAATGTTCAGCATTAGATAAGTATGAATTGAAACAACACTGAAATTCCATCTTACTCCCCAAAAATGACTACCATCAAGAAATCAAGTAATGACAATGCTTGTGAGAGCCAGGCGTGGTGGCGCATGCCTGTAATCCCAGCAGGGGAAGTCTGAGGCAGGAGGATTGCTTCGAGTTTGAGAACAGCCTGGGCTACATAGTGAGTTCCAGGGTGGTCTGAACTACTACATAGTCAAACCCTGTCTTTAAAAAAAAAAAAAGAAATGCTAATGAGACTACAGGGAAAAAGGAACCCTTCTGCATTGTTTGAGGGAATATAAACTAGTAAATTACTATGAACATTAGTATGGAGATTACTCATTCAACTAAAACTGGAAATCTGGCTTGACCCAGCTGTTTCCTTTGTAGGTGTCTTCGTAAAAGTTAAAAAGACATCATATTACAGTGACACATTGCATACTCATGTTTATAGCAGCAGAACTGTAATAGTTAATAAATCTGGAAGCAGTTTACACGTCCATCAACAGATAGTGGATAAATAAAATGTAAATACAGTGGAGTTCTACTGTGCCATAAAAAATACATTTGAGTCAGTTGTAAGAAATAAGATGCACCTTGAGACCATAATATTAAGTGAAGTAAATCAGACAAGCTTAAATATCATATGGTTTCTCTTGGATGAGAAACCCAAAGTATAAATAAAGAGCAAAATAAAAGAGATAGCAGCAAACAGAAAGACAGATCTTTTGCAAATGGGAAGAGGACCAAGAGATGGTGGGCAGTGTGTGGGGGGGAATCAGGTGATAGGGAAGGGGATGTAAAAAGATGTGTCATGTACATACAACCATTTACCTACAGTACATGTTATTTATTATGTACAGCACTCATATTAATTAAAAAATGGCTGGGGATGTAGTTCACGGATCGTGTGTTTGCTTATCATGTATGAGGCCCTGGGTTCAATCTCCAGTACCACTACTACCATCCCCAAAATGAGATGCCTGCCCCCAACAAAGATTGTTGCTAGTTGTCTTTAAGCTGAGTGTAAAAAGCTTCATGTTTGTGAAATATGTTTTTTATTTTAAAATACAGGAATCTAGTAGCAAGATATGTGACTTGAATGCCAACACTGAATCAGAAGTGCCAAGAGGTCAAAGTGTTGGTGTTCAAGGGGAAGCAGCCTGTATCCAAATTCCACAGTTAGATCTGAAGAATGCTTCTGATGGTGATAAATGGGAAGGTAATTTTACCACACACAGCATTTTCCTGATACTTTATTTGTAACTGAAATTAACCAGAGAAGTTATCAGACTTCTGTCCTTTTCCGGACAGTCATATTTTTCTTAATCTTCTGTTCTTCCTTTCATATGAGTGAGTGAGTGAGTGTTTTTACTCTGGTACACTAATGAGATTATGGGGCAGCTATCCCATATGAACTAGAACTTGCCTATCTGATCCATTCTTTGAAAATAGATGTTAGAAGCACCTTGGATAGTTGGGCCAGATGCTGTCTCCCAGTCTTCAAAAATCCAGTGTGCTAAGGCTTGAGGATCTTCATTGGTTTAAACAGGTGGCCTTAAAAGTATAGTGCCTTTTAAAAAGTGATCTTCAAGGGCAACCATAAACAGATACTATATCATATCCCTGTCTGGATTAGGTAAAAGTGTGATGTAGTGACCCTAACAATTTTTATAAGAAAGAAGTTTAAATTTAACAAGCAAGCAACATGGATATTTGCATTTCTCAAAACTCAGCAAATGTATACTTAAGATCTTTGCATTTCATTGTACATAAAGTTTACTTTTTACATTGAGACTCTAAAAAGCCAAATGGTGATGAGTGACTTGCATGCTGAAGGGTGTATGAGGAAATAGACATCTGCAGTTCACTTTGAAATCAAGAAAAAAATGGTTAATGAGGTAGATATATAAAGCAGGGTTAATATATGGATTCTTAAATTCTTTAAAATTTGCTGTATTTTTGTAAAGTTTGAAATAAAATGTTGAAAGAGGAAGAAAATGAGCAACAAATTTTTGGAGCCAAGAGTTTCTGGATCATATATATAATATACCTTTCTCTAGATAAAGAATGAGACAACTCAGGAATCTTAAGCCAAATTTTATATATGTTCACTTGGATGGAGATCCCTGGGCTATAGCATTAACAAGAATTGCAGTGCTCATGGACTTCCTTTGTTAGTCTACTCACTGGTCAGAGACTGAGGATATATGAATATAAATGTGTTAAAGTCCAGGCATTTAAAAAAATGTCCAACCAAGTCATGTCTGTACTAATTTGTATTGCTTCCTCCTCTGCCTTTTTTGGGGTCTAGGTGTTTGGCATGTCCACTGGCGTAGAAAGTTGTTTTTTATTTGCTTTGTTCTGGGTTATTTAAGACTTTCAGAATTTATGCAGAAGCTTTTCAGGGTTAGAGGATATGTGAACATACTGGTGACAGTAAGGCCCAAATGACCCTTTTAGTTATTTTTTGAGGCATAGTCATTGAAAAGGAGCAGTAGTTAACAGAACATCCCTTGGAACCCTGGTAGGAAAGATGTCTCTGAAAGATGAAGTTGTTATGCTGGTAAAAGCATTTTTGCAGATAAATAGTAATTTATGATCTTTGGCCTGCGAGGTCTGATAAGTTTTAAGCAGAGCAGAGCAATTGTTTTCTATTGTATGAGGGAATTGGGCAATGTCTCCCTAGCTTCAGCTTTCTGGAGGCTCCCCCAAAGGAAGCCCTGGATCCCCCACCCCTTGGATTATAACCCTTATACGTTGTTGTAGGAAAGGAGGTTACTTGTAGACTGTTGACCCCTGACTTTCAGTGCCTGAGCTGCCCTATTATCTACCTGACTCAGTACTCACAGCAAGTCCTCCTGCTGGCTTTTCCGAGGCAGTGATAAGGCCCAGAGACCTCCAGAAAGCCAATAGTAGTAGGTAGCTGAGTGAATTTCCTAGCTATGGGCCCTAAGTGTTAAATACAGTAGCTGTCAGTAGACCATATTCCTTCCAACTTTGTCATCATTATGAACATTGATTTTCTGCAATTAAGTTTTAGGATATTCTAAATTTAAAAAGTCTTTTAAGAAAACATTATTTTGGATATTTTGGAATCAGATTTATTTTATTCTTTAAATACTTTGCTGGAACAAGGGATTGAACCCAGGACCTTCATACTGCATTACATCGCCATCCCTTTTTAAACTTTTAAACTTTGAGACAGTCACATTCAGTTGCTTAGTTAATCAAGCTGGGCTCTAACTTGGCATTCCTCCTGCCTCAGCCTCCCAAAGTGCTGGGATTACAGGCATGCACCACTATGCCAGGCTGAGAAACATATTTTGTTTGATGTGACTCCTAGTAGAGGGGATGACTCTGAATCAAGGAGCACCTCACCATTACCTGGTATGTGTTGCTTTTTACTTTTCTTCAGAGAGTGATCAGCAGAACATCGTTAGCTCCTGTTCAAAGTGTCTTAGGTTTTAGTGGAAGTGGAAACCATCTTTCCTTCAGATGCTCTCCTGTTAATTATGGAATGAAATGCAGTAGTAGTATCTTTTCAGAGTACGAACCAAGGGAGAATTTTATTTTTTTCTGTCAAATCAGTTATATTGAAAAGCTTCAAATAGTATGTGGTTAAGAATTTCCATTTCTTAAGTCTTATGTTTGAGTTTTAATAAAACAGCACTACTTTCTTTTTTCTTGCTTGCTGAAATGGAAATGTATGTTTATGTTTGTTAGTTCAATTGGTAATTTCCTTAAATAAAGTTTTAGAGCAGAATGCCTAACTGGTTTTAGGGAAATGTTTTTGGTATCTTTGGCTTTGTGTTATGTGTATGGTTTGTTCTGACTGTGCTGTGTGTTCACTTTAGTATTTTTTGCCATTTTTTTCCATTTTATTAGCGCCATGCCCTATCACTTTTCCCCTCATTGATTTCAAAACAATGCATCTGCAGAGAGATGGGGAGGGTAAGTATGGTTCACCATAGTTCAGTTTTCTTACCTTTTTATGGTTCACTTTGTTTATTATCCCTTCTCCTGCTGTCCCCAAATCGTAGGAAAATTTTTGGGTTGTAAATGATACCCAGAAAAAATAGTTTTTGTTATTTCCTTATTTTCTTACAACAGGAGGTTTATCATAAATGTTCATTATCAGTTACTTATTTGCTGGGACACAGGTACAAGGGTAGCTTTGAAATCACTATTTCTGGGTTTACTGTGGGATTGCACGCTTTGTATCTGATTTTTAGTTGTCAGATTAACATAGGCTTCATAAACTGAATTTCCTTACCACCCTGGCAGAAGGTAATGCTTTAAATTGCTAATGCATAGAGTTAAATTACTAAAGCAGCTGTTTTAACTACTGTGTGAAAAAGAAAACATCACTTTGGAATTTTGACACTGTCAAGCCATCTTTTTATTTTTGCTATTGTTAATAAAAAGTAGCATCATAGTTTTAAATTTTAGTTATACATAAAACTAATGAGTAGATGGGAAAGCTGTTGGTTTTCTCTGTTTTTTCTCCTCCTCCCCTATATTCCAGCTATACTTAATTTTGTATTTGGAGTATATTTGTGGATTTTGTGTATGACCTGTATATGTTCTGTATGTAATCAATCTTGTACAACCACATCAGTTACATTAACATGGTTTTATTTGAAAGCGCATAGGCTAACTCCATGAGTAAATGTGCTTAAGACTACTGCTGTAAAGGTTTGTCTCCTTTATACTGCTGTGTTATTAAAATATATATAATACATAAGATTCCCAAACTGAAGAAAACCATCAGTTTAATATTAGAGTTGAAGTGCTAGCAGTCAGTTAGATCCTCCTTTGGAAATGTTAGAATTCTTTTGGAGTCCGCTCCATTTTTGTCCTGTGTAGCACGGGGAAGAGTGCCCACATTTAAACCATAGCTGCCTGATTGTGAGGGACAGTTTATTCACTGGGAAACATTTGACTATATAGTTAAATTACTAAGGACTGTCGAGTCTTTTCTAAATAGACATATTGTTCTACTTGAAAAGTAGTTCTCTAGAGAACCCAAACACAAATAGGTCTCTCCTTCATGTATGAAAAAAATTTTTCTATATAATACCTTCAGAATATTAAGTTAGAATTAGATGAAATAACAGTTTTATAATTTAATTTTAAAGAGCTTGACAGTGTCTTTTTTTGCTTTGCCACTGGGTTCAGAAATTTGAAGTTAATATCTCCTATGAGAGTAGAATTCTGGCTTAAAGAAGCTTGGATAATTTTAAATATAAATAAATAAATAAGCATTATGATGATTATAAAGATCCTAGTATCTTTTTTTTGCTTTCAAAAAATGTGTAACAAATATGTGAACCCCACTACATAATGGTAGGATTTAAAGAATATATGGCTGATATTTTGTGAACTTTTCCCATTTTAAATCCAGAGACCCATGGTACTATTCTGTGTGTTTGTTTACAGAGCCGTTTCCTGCATTTAAGTCTTGGCAGGAAGACTCTGAGTCTGGAGAAGCTCAGCTGTCTCCACAAGCTGGAAGAATGAATCATCATCCCCTGGAAGAGGACTGTCCTCCAGTATTATCACATCGCAGCTTAGATTTTGGGCAAAGCCAGCGTTTCCTACATGATCCAGAAACGCTGAGTTCCTCATCCAAAGCACTTTCGTATGCTAGGTATATGAATTTTATGTACTTTAACAAGAGGTAGGGGGGAGATAGCTCTTATCATGTACCCAGGTCTTAAAATTAATACTGATTTTAAAATTTTTCTGTGCAGTTTAAACATATAAAAGAGCTCTGATATTCTAGATGTGTTAATTTTTTGCCTTTGTCCAAACAAATTTTTATTATTTATTTATTTTTTTTCCTCATTGAGTTTATTGGTACATTTTGGGTATACAGTACAGTTACATTCATCATTGCCAAACAAATTTTTAAATGATTCCAAACTCTTTTCCTTACCACTTGTGTTAGTTTTGTAGTCTGAAACAATGTAATTTTTTTTTTACTAGCTGTTCTTCAGTGGTAGGGCATTAACTTCAGTTTCAAGGTATTATACTTAACTAGTGATATTGTTGTAATGGGGCAATGAAAGATACGGTTGTTTTGTTTTTTGGGGGGTTTTGCTGTTGTTGGTTTCTTTCTTTCTTTCTTTCTTTTTTTTTTTTTTTTTTGTACCAGGGATCAAATTCAGGACCTTGCACTTGCGAGGCAGGTGGTGGCACCACTGGACTAGTCCCTGGCCCTTGTGGTTTTTTTGTTTTTTTGTTTTTATTAAGACAGGGTCTTGCTTTGTAATTCAGGCTGGCCTCGAGATCATAAGATCCTTCTGCCTCAGCCTCTTCAGTGCTGGGATTATAGGCATACACCATAACGCCTGGCCAAATATGGTATTGATACTTCAAAATTTAACACATAATGTTGGCCTGTTATTTTAATTCAGGATTCGAAGATCATCCTTTAGTTCAAAAGATGAAAAAAGAGAAGACAGAACACCTTATCAGTTGGTCAAGAAACTTCAGAAAAAAATCAGACAATTTGAGGAGCAATTTGAAAGGGAAAAGAATAGCAAGGTAAATTTGTAACATTGTCCAAATTAAACTAGGTCTAATATTAAAAGCGGGAGGAAGATCTTTGGAGAGCATTTGTTCTCCTCTTTCTTTAGGACAATAATAAATCTAAGATGCCCGAGAGAGATTGGTCATAGAGATCTAAGAGCAAATAGATCCTTAATCTTTTGATTTCTAGGCCACTATTCTTGCCTTTGCACCATTAACAAGTAGCTGTTAGCTTTTAAAACAAATTCTTTACATTGACAAATCCTATTGCTGCTATTTATTTTCTCTGCCAAAGATCACAGGTACCAGGTAGAATAAGGAAGAAATAAGAGGAGTATGAGAGAAAGAAAATATGTATTTTAATAATTAGAGTATGTGAAGTACAGACAGTCCTATATTTGAAGACAAAAGACCCATGTTCAAATTTGCTAGTTTTCTGACCTTGCTCTGGGAGAGCTTTTCCTTAATGTTCTGCCTATTTAAAATGAGGCTTGAATCTATGCTTTGAGAATCATGAAGTACTATCTAGGTATAATATAGCCATTGATTACCACAACAAGGTCATTGATTCTGTTCCATAATTTTTCAGCCCTCCTATAGTGATATTGCAGCCAACCCAAAGGTATTAAAATGGATGACAGAGCTTACCAAACTGCGGAAGCAAATTAAAGGTATAAAAAGTACCATTTTGTAATGTATTGTTATTTTTAAAATGTTCTTTATTACTGACATACATTATTTACACTGTGAATCCGTTTTTTTTTTTTTTTTTTTTTTTTTTTTTTTTTTTTTTTTTTTTGGTTTTTTGAGACAGGGTCTCACTGTGTAGTGAGACTGACCTGGAACTCACTATGTAGCCCAGGCTGGTCTCAAACTCACAGCAGTCCTCCTGCCTCAGCCTCCCAAGTGCTGGGATTACAGGTGTGCACCACCACACCCGGCATGAATTGTTTTTTAATTGCTTGCTCTGAGGTCCCGCTTTCTTTTTTTGTAACATTAACTGCAATGTTGTTCTTCCTGGAATCTATGAAAATATAATTCAAGCAGATCTTTAAATGAAAAAATAAAATGTTCTTTATGTAATCTTGGAGAATTATAGTTATAATTTTTGATAATTTTTAAACATTATTAATAGTTTTATTGACCCAATTATTACTTATTTTGAATCTTGGAAATTTGGGGCAGAAATAAAAAATTTTCCTTTGGCTGGGCATGATGCACATGCCTGTAATCATAGCATTTGGGAGTCTGAGGCAGGAGGATTGCTGCAAGAGTTTAAGGACAGCCTGAATTCCATAGTGAGACCCTGTCTAAAAAAACAAACAAGGGGCTGGGATTTAGCTAAGTGATGCCGCAGCCTGCCTCACAAGTGCAAGGTCCTGATCTTGATCCCAGTTCAAAAAACAAACAAACAAACACAAAAAGGGGCCAGGGATTTAGCTCAGTGGTATTGCTGCTTGCCTTGCAAGCACAATTCCTGAGTTCAATCTCCAGTACCCCCCCAAAAAAAAAAACAAAACAAATAAAAAGGGGCAGAGATTTACCTGCCTGGAAAATGCAAGGTCTTGAGTTCGATCCCAGGTACCAAAAAAACAAAAAATAAACAAACAAAAAGTTTCTTTTTGCTCTTTTGCAGTCAAAGACAAAACTATATACTAAGAAACGAGAAGTTCATAGTACTCTTACATTTTTTCAATGTCTTTCCTTTGTTTTTATTTATATTTTTTGACAGATATCCTAGATCATATATTTATAGGTAAACTGATATTTATAGGTTATCTGAAATATACTCCAGATATTAAGTAATTTTGGTTTGGGGTAGGTATTTCATTAACATTTTTGATGAGTTATTTATCTGAGACTAAGATTACATAGTCCAAATCTGTGATTGTAGCACAGGGGTAGAGGACGTGTCTATCATGTGAGAAACCCTGTGTCTGGCACAGGGTGGGGAGGGGGAGAAGTAGTCATAGTGACTTGTTGACAGTCCAAAGACTAAATTTGAAGTCTTGAATCATAAACTAGGTATTGAACTTTTAGATGTCAGCCTGGTGCTTAGTGTAGTAGTTTTTAAAGTATACTTTTGAGCATATATAGTATATATGTTGTGTTGTTTTGTTTTGTTTGTTTGTCATACTACAGATTGAACTCAGGACCTTGTGCTTACAAGGCAGGCATGCACTACTGAGCTAAATCCCCGGCCCATGAATATGTTTTTTGATAATTATTACTTCAGCAATTATCTTTTCCTAGCACAGGTTTATAATTTGGATCATCACTGATTTATTTGAATTTATTTAATAAAATTTTTAGTATCTTCAGTATCAACTACTCAAACACTCCCATTGTGGAATTATGTATTGTAAGAGAATGTCTTTTAACTGTTTTAGATTATTTTCCTCTACAGTTCTGTTAAGCATTTCCTTGTTTAAATGCCATTTTCCAGGTATCGGTTATCATTGATTAACATTAGCCTCCTGATTTCTCAATTTTCTTCCACTCTTACTGTCCTGTGGTCCATCTGAGAATTTTCTCCTCCTTCTCCCCTCCCTCCCTCCCCTCTCTTTCTTTCTCCCTCCACCTCCTCCCTCCTCTTCTTTTTCTTTTCTTTTTTTGAGACAAGGTCTCACTATGTAGTTTAGGCTGGTCTTGACCTCATTGTGTGGCCTCATACTAATACCAGTCCTCTCACCTCAGTCTCCTGAGTGCTGAGATCACAAGCTTGTGCCATCATACACAGCTTAGAATTACCTTCTAAAGAATTTTGTTACTCTCTTGTGGAAGTCTTTCAGTGAGCTTTCCTTTCCATTTTCCAAAAAATTTTTTAACAATAGCGAGTTTTATTGAATAAAGGAAAAGAAACAGGCTCTGCAGAGTGAGTTTGGGTCAAGTAAAAGTAGGAAAAGAAGCACACCTTACAGCATGAGGATGCAAGGCCACCATGCAAGAGGGGATGCAGTGGCCCCAGTTTGCAAGCTCTTTACTATGGTTTCAAGGCCTTGCATACTCTCCCCGTACTTTAGTCTCTCATTTTCTATTCCTCAGACATACAAAGCTTTAGGGTTTTGCATGGGCAGTTGTCTTAATTGTAAATGAATGCTTTCCCCGTAAATCTAATGCTAGGCCAGCTCTTTATCCTTCTATATTCAGCTAGCTAATAACTAAAAGCCCTTGTCAGTCTCATCTAATGAAGTTGCTCTCTACAAAGTATCCTTCTGGCACTGTGACTCCATCCTGTTGTGGACAGGATGAATTTTCATAGGTTCTGTTAGTTGAAATTACTTCATTTATTTATCTGATTATTTGATTGTTGGTTTTCCTCCCCTCACTATGTGCTGCATTAGAACAGAACAAATGTCTGTTTTGTTTACTGCTGTATCTCCACTGTTCATCTGGGTCTTCCATTGCAGGTATTCTGTGATTATTGACTGACTAGAATAGCTCTCTTGCTTAATTTAAATGTTTTATGTGACTTTAAAATATTGGAGCCTGTGGTACTGTTAATATATACTTGCTAAAATTACTATTATTTATCTGTCTTCTTTTTTATGAAATTTAGATGCAAAACCCAAAAGCTCTGATGGAGAGTTTGTACCTCAGACCCGTCCACGGAGTAACACTCTTCCAAAAAGTTTCGGCTCTTCTCTAGACCATGAAGGTGAAACAAGTGAGGATGAATCCAGAACCATTCAGAAGGAGAAAAAATTGTCTAAGGAAGCAACTCTTGAATTTATTCTGAAAAAACTGAAGGAAAAACGTGTTGAGAGATGTCTTCCAGAAGATATCAAGGTAATGTTGGACTAAGATTGTTGCCCTGGTCAGCTTTTAAAATCCCTGAAACAAAATGGTTACTCTAGCAGGGTAGAGATGTCTAGGAAACGTGACTGGCCTGTTTGCATATGCAGAAATGTGTTTTTCTCAACATACCAGAATTATGTGCCAAATCTTTCAGGCATTGAGTCATAATGAAAGAAAAATGCTAGTGTACTGACTAGTTCTTTTACATGAGGTAGTTGACAAGATGAATATGTAAATATGTAAAGAGCTTGAAACAGAGCTGTTTGAATCTGGTAGTTATGTATACTGAGCGCTTAGCTTATGCCAGACTTTGACAGGTTACTTTATGTACATTCTGCCACTCAGCCCTTTCAACAACCCTGTGATGTGCATAGATACGACTGTGTCTGTTAAAAAACATTAACTTGATTTGTTAAAACAATTCAATGAAGCTTTTGTTATTGTTTGAGCTTTTTCTCTCTTTTTTGGTGGTGCTAGGAATTAAAACACAAGGCTTGTTTGGCTTTATGTACACTACATGAGCACCATACCATTAAGCTACATCCCCAGCCCAATGAATTAAATTGTTTTGAGGAATTATTAGTTGGTAAAGCCTGTGCCTAAGGCAGTGCCAATCAAAGCACTGGGAACCCAAATCATGTATCAGATGAGATTTACCAGGGGAGTGAGAAGGTGAGCAATTTCAGGTGAACTTTTATCCAGGTAATGGTGAGTTTATACATTCTTATCTAGACACAGAGTATACCGCTCTCATGATTAAATATTGAAGTCCTAAAAAATTACTGAAGTCTTTCTCTCTTTTGAATGAGTTGCATTAGTCTTTCTTGTATATCCCCCTCCCCATAACTTTGATTTTGCTTTTTCTTGTTGGAACAATTTCTATGTGGTCTCATTGGGATTAGCTTTACACAAATTAATTACCTTAGGTTCAGGCTTGTGGTTGAATTCGCAATGTTTTACAGAGTCTACCCTTAGCTATCGTCTACTGCATAATATATTTTATATATTTGTTACAGGAAGATAACTGTACAAGGAATTCTTTTACTCTCTAATTTCACTCTGCTGAGAGATAAAGTAGTATTAGCCAATCCTAGAAATAAGTAGAGTTTGATATAGTTGAAGGATATTCTGTGGAGCATTGGTTCATTGAGATGGTAATAGGTGATCCTATGGGATAAAGGGAAGGGGTCTGTGGACAAATAAATTTGAGAAGTTTTTCCCACTAAGTCATTTAGAATTCTAAATGATATGATACATATATTTGGTGTATAGAGAATATACCACCACAAATGAAAAGAAATAGGTCATAGAGAAGTGTAAAGTCACAAATTGACATTGCTAAGCTTTCATTGTTAAACTTTTTCTAGAATCTTTCCATTTCACTGCTGCAAGATTTTCTTAGTAGCTTAGGGGGCGTATTGAGTTATGAAACCTTTGCATGTCTGGGGAGTATTTTTGTACAATCTGTGTGACGTGTGAAACTTTTAAGTAAAATAACAAATCTGTTGTAAATTTAGTCTTCATTGAAGCCCTTTGAGGTAGAACGAAGTATTCCTATAGCATGTTGAACGTGAAGATGTTAAGTAATTTACCCAAGCCAATATTCCTAACTTCAATAAAATATAAATCAGGCTATCAAAGGAGGTTGACACCAACATATTAGAAGACCAAATACCATGGGAGACTGAAAAATACTGCTTGCAAATCCCTAAGAAGGCATTGTTAGCCTTTGATAATCTGATGATAGTAGTTTGTATTTACTTACATTGTAGGAGAAAGAGTGCTAATGATGATGGCAATATTTTTTTCTCCCCTCATTCTAGAAAATGACAAAAGATCATTTGGTAGAAGAGAAAACTTCACTCCAGAAAAGTCTTCTTTACTATGAAAGTCAACATGGAAGGCCGGTAATGTTTCTCTTGCTAAAAAGATTTGATTTTCTATCTTCAAGAAGAAAAGAGAATCGATCACTCTTATGGCCTATATTCTTCAAAGTTGTTTTATACATTGTTTCCTACATTTGAGAGATTACCTACTTATTACATATAAACTTTTAAATTGGGGGGTCATATTACTTTTAATGTTAGTTTTAATGACTAGGTGACTTCCCTTTTTCTTTGGCTTCAGGTGACAAGGGAAGAAAGGCACATTGTTAAACCTCTCTATGATAGATACAGGCTTGTAAAACAGATGCTGACAAGAGCTAGCATCACTCCTCTCCTTGTAAGTAAAATAAGCAATGTTTCTCTAGTTTATTTTAAAGATGTAGTTGGTTCCACCCCCAAATATTTTGGTGGCATATTGGAGAAATACGTAGCTAAGATAGAAAGAATGGTAATGGCAAATAGAGGCTGATTTTAAAAGAATAGAAAACTAAGAAGTGCCTACAATTATTTCCAGGCAGTTTAGTAAGCATTTTTATGTATGCTTGTATGATTAAATCCTGACAAAATCACAGGAGGTAGAATAGGATAATTTCATTTCCCAGGGAACAAAATTGTGGTTTAGGTGGTTTATGCCCACGTTACCTACTTCGTAAGTGATGGAAGTAGAACGAAAAGTTCAAACTTGCCTAGTCTGTTCCCATTTCAATTCATGTCTTTGAAAATACCTCAGTTTTGTGATGGCCATGATGATGATCATCCAGTTGCATTGTAACATAAATGGATTTTTCAGAACAAGTTTGTCTTCTTTAATGGGACACAGTCTATTAAAATAGTGCTTATCCATATTAGTTTTTGTTTTTATTTCATTTATTTGTTTTCTTGATAAGGGGTTTTATTATGTTGCCCAGGCTGGTCTTGAACTTGTGTGCTTCTACTTCAGCCCCTTGAATAGCTGGGACTACAGGCATGCACCACCACACCAGGCTTTGTGTACATTATTTTATCATTATTTTTTGGTAGCAGGGATTGAACTCAGGTCCTTGCGAGGCAGGCGGCAGAACCACTGAGCTAAATAAATCCCCAGCCTGGTATACATTATTTTAAAGAAAAAACTACAGTACTTACATGCAAATCAAGTTCTGTTTTCTAATTAACCATTGGTGTGTAAACATTTCTCCGTGGCACAGTAGGAAAAAGCCGGTAGCTCATTCTGCGTTATTTCCTAGGAGCTCATTCACCAGAGTTTGTTTCAGCTTTCAGACTGTACACATTGAGGAGGGTTTCCTTTTCTCTTATTACTCAGTACTAGACTTATATTCACCTTCTGAGCACTTTAAATTGGCTGTTAATAGAATTCATTTTTAAAATCAACTGAGTTTTTATTTGTTTTTTGAAACAGGGACTCACTATGTAGTTCAGGCTGGCCTTGAACTTGTTTCAATCCTCCTACCTCAGCCTCCTAAATTCTGGGATTATAGGTGTGTGTCACCATGCCTGGCTAGAACAGTTTTTCAACACTTGGTACTAGGACAACTGGATATCCAAATACAACTATACCTCATACCACAGATAAAAGCTAACTCTAAAGGGATAAATGACCTAAATGTAAAATTATGAGACTCTTGACTATATTGAGTAAGACAAACAATGTTGGTGGGGACGTGGATACATTGGGGTCCTCATAATATTTTTGGTGGGAATGCAAAGTGATACAGCCGTTTTTGAGCAGTTCTTCAAAAAGTTAAAATTAGAGTTACTGTGTGCCGGAGCAGCTCCTGCCCCAGGTAAATACCCAAGAAAGGTGGAAACATATGTCCACACAAAAATTTGTACACAAGTGTTTACAGCAGTATTATCCATAATAGTTAGGAAGTGTCTGTCAGCTGATGAATAAATAAAATACGATATATCCATACACTGGAATATTGTTCAGCAATGAGGAATGAAGTATGGATACATATATGCTAAGGTATGAATATGCCTAGAAAACATCATGCTGAGTGAAAGAAGCTAGACACAGAAGACCTAATAGTGTATATTTATATGAAATATATATGGGCAAGCCCATAAAGGCAAAATATAGATTAGCCTTTACTGAGGGATGGTGGAGAATGCACATGAGTGGCAGCTAGTGGACAGAAGTGTTTTGTTTTGCCTTGTTTTATTTTCAGTTCTGGAAATTGCACCTACAGCTTTCACACTGAGCTACCTCCTCAGCCCCTTTTTAAATTTATTTTTTTCTGAGACGGGATTTTACTAAATTGCCCATGCTGAACTCAAACTTGTGATCCTCATGTCCTCACCCTCCAAGAATCCTGGGATTAGATGTGTACCGCCACACCCAGGAGCACAGGATTTCTTTTGGAGTGATGAAATACTCTAGAATTAGATAGTGGTTACAGAACTGTACATTAAAAAAAAAAATTTATTACTATATGTTTGTAGCACATAGTGATTTACATTCACTGTGGGGAGTTGGTACATTTACATAACACATTCTTTTTATTTCCCCTTCCCTCCCTTTTCTTTCATTATATTTTAGGCTTTTCTAGACATAAATTATTTGTCACTTATGCATAAATATAAAGAAATAAAACAGACATATTAAGGAATTTCTAAAGTAATTAAAAGCATATGTTTAAGATTTTGAGTTTGTTTCTTTGTTCTGTTTTTGTACCTGGGATTGAACTCAGGACCTTGTGCTTGCCAGGCAGGCATGGCACCACTGAGAGAAATCCTCAGTCCCATTTTTTTTTTTTTTTTTAACGTTTAAGATTTTGAACATAGGGCCGGGGATTTAGCTCAGTGGTTCGGTGGCCTGCCTTGCAAGCGCAAGGACCTGAGTTCAATCTCTGGTAAAAAAAAAAAAAAAAGATTTTGAAAATAAAGTTCCTCTATAACAAAGAAGGGAAGCTTGAGTAATACTTTAATGTAAAATGTATTATTGGTTAACAGGGATCTCCCTCCACCAAAAGAAGAGTTCAGATGCTACAGCCAATCATAGAAGGAGAAACTGCACATTTCTTTGAAGAAATCAAGGTAATCCTTTAGAGAGCACATTCTCTTAATTTTTTTCCCCAAAGGAAAAGTTGCAAGTCAGGGTTATTTGATTTTCTATTTGGGTGTGTTTTTAGGAAGAAGAAGAAGAAGATGGTATTAGTCTGTCCTCTGAATTAAATGATATCTTGAAAACAGCTATACAGGCACAGTCTTCATTGGAAAACTCAGAATCTGATATTGAAGAAAGTCAAAAACTGGCTCTGGATCTCCGATTGTCAAGTACTCGAGCAGCTTCTATGTATGTATGCTGGTTTGTGATTTTAGCGTCGTTGTATAACAAAATTTAAATGCCAAGAAATTCTGTATTAAGTAATTGAACATTTGGAAGGATTAATATAAGGGATGGCTCCAGGGATGTAGCTCAGTGGCACAGTGCCTGACATATAAGTGCAAGGTACTGAGTTTGATCCCCGGTAACAAAAAAAAAAAAAAAAAAAAAAAAAAAAAGGAATCAAGGTATACTCCCTTATAAAGTGCAGTTTACAAATGCATGTTGTCATTTTCTTTATTGACTATAATGTTTCAAATTTTAAAAAATGAAATCCTGTATTGTATTTATAACAGTATAAGAACTTATCTTAGGGTTGATCGGTGTTTTGTTCTATATCTCACCCTCTTCTAGAGACTATGGTTTATGTCAGGGGTTCTCAACCCTGACTTCACTTTGCAAACAAGTAGGAGAACACCCTCCATACTAGGGATTGAAGCCAGGGGTACATCATACCTACATTTTTTTTTTCTTTTTCTTTTTTTTTTTTTTTGAGACATTCTCAATAAGTTGCCCCGGCTGGGCCAAAACTTGCGGTCTTCCTGCCTCACCCTCTAAAGTGCTGGGATTCTAGCTGTGCACCACCAAGCCCAGCTAAGATTTTTTTTTAAGTGCTGATGCTGAGCCCTATTATCAGCTATTCTGATTTAACTGATTTGGGGTAGAGCTTAGGCATTGATTTGCTGCATAAGTTCCCCACCTGATTTTTACTTGAGCCAGAACTAGAACTGCTATTAAGAATATAACAAATCAGCTTTGTCTTTTCAGTAATGTTTTCTTCCATTTGAATTTTAGGCCTGAATTACTGGAACAACTTTGGAAAGCCAGAGCTGAAAAAAAGAAACTACGTAAAACATTACGGGAATTTGAAGAAGCATTTTATCAACAAAATGGAAGGTTTGTTGAGCATCACAGAATAGTCATCTGTCTCTACTAGCTCCAAAATGCTTATAAGTTAAAAGAGTGGTATGCAGTGGATTAGAAATAAGTTACAGCATTGAAGAAAATTAGCATTGAAAGTAAAATTTTATGATGTTCCTTTGTATGCTAAAGGCCAGCTACTATTAATGGAAATAAAAAGTCACAGCTAAAGTAAACAGCATCTAATAAAATATTTCAAGGCTGGCCAGGCGTGGTGACTCAGGAGGCTGAGGCAGGAGCATTGTAAGTTCAAAGCTGACTTGGGCAACTCCGAGAACCTGTTTCAAAATAAAACATAAAAGAGTATAGCTCAGTGAAGGAGGACTCTTGGGTTAAATCCCAGTACTGCCGAAAAAAATAATTTCAGTGTTGTCCTTGGGCTGTGATGGCGAACCTTTTAGAGCTTTCAGTAATAACAGACAGCTCACTGCAACACGCATGCCATAGGTTTGCCACCACTGTCCTAGAGAGTCTTGGTTGAGTTGCATTGGGCTACCCTCCCCCATGCTGAGCAGGGAACTTTGGGACCTCACTCGTGCTAGACAAGCACTCTGCCACTCATCTGCATCCCACGATGATTTTGTTCCTCCGTTCCACATCCTCACCCATGAAAAGTGCTTATGAAATGTGATGTTTTTCTTTTTAGGAAAGGTCCCAGTACTGGTTTGGATTCTTAATTTTTATAGTGAGACCACTGTGCTTTGGCTGCATGTTGGGTCATCCCAGGCTGCCCATTTTGAAGATGTGTAACAGTGAGACAATACAAATGATACCTTGCAAGGTTCATGAACTTAATTTGTTCTTCAATTTTGGAAAAGATGGCCATATTTGTGGGAAAGATGGCTGTGATTGTGTTTGTCACCTGATAGAGAGTTTGGAAACAAAAACAAAATTTTGCCAAATACTTCTGTTTGAGAATCAAATGAACTGAGGTACCACTGTGTGGGTCCTGTAAAACACTGGTATTTGCCTTTATCTTACTAGTGTGCATAGTTGACCCTGGGGGACTCTTTTATATTATTTTTCAGTTAGGGTCTCACTGTATAATGCAGGATGCCCTTGAACTTGTAATCTTCCTGTTTCAGCCCCCAAAGTAGCCAGGATTACAAGAATGTACCACTGCACGGGGAACACTCTTAAAATAAGAAAAGTAGGGCCGGGGAAGTAGCCAAGTGGTGCAGTGCCTGCCTGGCAAGCACAAGGTCCTAAGTTCAATCCCTGGTACCAAAAAACAAATTTATTAAATAAAATAAAAGGAGAAAAATACTTTCCGATTCATATGATGGCAAAAATGATTTAAATTATCAGAAAGGCTTTCCAAGTATAACTAGGTGGTTTTTACCAAACCAATAGCCCCATTACAATTCTAAAATGTGTTTAAATTCATTCTCTCTTTTTTGAGAGTCTTCTGTATAGGTTTGCATATACAGTTTTAAAATGCAGTGAAACACAAAAATGCATTTTCTGAGTGCCTTCAATTTCTTTATATTATTGGTGTTTTGTGGGGTTTTTTTTGTACCAGGGTTCGGTCAAACTTAGGACCTTACGATTGCTGAGCAGGCACTGTGCTACTGAGCTACATCCCAGCCATTGGGTTTTTAAAATTTTTTCTTTTGAGATAGAGTAGTTCAGGCCGGCCTTGAACTCCAGCAGTCCTTCTCCCTCAGCCTCCCAGGTGCTGGGATACAGATATGCTGCACCTTACCCAACATTCTTTATATTACTGGAAGAAAATTTCATTTATAATTATGCTTAGAAAGATTTATTGCTTTGGCTAGTGAATAGCATTGGTCATTTAATATAAAGTTAGTGGACTACTCTGTTACAGACAAGGTGGTTTACTTTCATATCTTAATTCACTGGAGTCACAGTTAACTAATTGTAGTGACTTAGTGTGGTTTTTCTGGCATGTAAGAGATACAGATCTGGCAGAGTTTAGTAATAATGTCTTATTAAAATTGATTACTTCTGATTTTCCACACTGAGCACTGATGAAGTATAGCATTAATCTTTATTAGTAGAGAAACCCATCAAAGATAGGAGTATAGTATTTTATTTTAGGAATGTTCTTTGAGGATAAGAAAATTAGTCCAGCAATTTTTTATTTGAATTTATAATTAGTATTACTGTGTCTCAGAATAATTTCTAAGCCTATTTTCCAGGTGCTCTCTAGAGAGTATTACAGATTTTATTTTCTCCCTTAGGAATGCCCAGAAAGAGGATCGTGTTCCAGTGCTTGAGGAATACAGAGAGTACAAGAAAATTAAAGCTAAGCTTAGGCTTCTTGAAGTTCTTATCAGCAAACAGGATTCTTCAAAATCCATATAAAATATGCTCCTTGAAAATTCACATCATAAAATCACTTGTATTCCGTGATGTTATCATCATGTGTACTTGACTGGTCCTTGAGCTTATTTTGTCAGGCATTCAGAGAATCTCATTTTGTACTTGGTTGTGGTGCCACTAAGCAAGTGAGGGGAGGGTAAGTTGGCCCTCTTGGGGAGCCTGAGTGATGTTCCATGTTGACCACAGACTGTCCTCTTCACCTTTAGCAAACATGCAGTCTCCTTCATTGTTTTGTACTACCAACACATCTATTAGCAAAAGACTAGAATTTTATCCTTTCAACTTCAAGAACTTTGGAAACACAAAGCTTTTTGTTAATTACCTTTTTTTTTTCCATTACTGAAGAAAATTGAGAGGAAAAGCTTCATATTGAACACTTCGGTTACCTTTTTCTTACTGAATGACTGATAATTTAAAAGAAAACCTATAGAAGTGCACATATGCAACTGTGTTCTGTTTTCTTAGACAACCAAAATCAAACTGAGATTACAAGTCCTACTGTGAAACACTTTTCTGTTTTAATTCCCAAAGTGACACCTTCTCACAGGTGAAATATTAACAAAACTTTACAGTTCAGTGGTCACATAGCTTGGATGAAGATTACAGTAGGTATATGACCAAAAAGTGACCTTGTTTAACCTATTGAAAACATATATCACACATCATACACAGAACTGAATCATAACACATGCTGCCTATGGGACTTAAGTTACTGTTTGTTCCTGAGTTATAATTTATCAGCTGATGATATATTTGTCTGGAATGGGTTCTGGGCTGTTCTCCCTTACCCATCTCCAGATAATGTGAGAAAACAGCCATGTCAGTATGTAGGAACTCTGATGGTGCTCACATTATTATGTTTAATCAAATGGGCCTAAATTGGCAGAGTAATCATTATGCCTAAGTAAATCTGCTCGTAACAAGGGCTATACCACTGCATTTTTACATGAACTTCAGGGGGCTGCATCTTTTTTTTTTTTTCTCCTTTTCCTTTTTGAATCAGTAAAATTTGTACAGTGAAGCACCCTTTAAAAGAGACCACCTTTTGCTTAATCACATTCTATTAAAGCAGCCATTTACAGTATGTGTAGTGGTATGTCCCTTGCCGTACACTGTTAGCATCTCTTTTTCCTTGGCTTTGCATGGCTTTTCTTCAGGTACCCTTGATATCATTCTGCTAATCACTTTTTTGAGATGGTGACTTCATTTGTGTTAACAATACAGTGGGCTTAATCAAAGTGTTAATTTTTTTTCCTGGTGCTTTTGGGTTGATGAGTGCCTCTGTGCCCCTGTTTTGCATGCAGTGACTCATGCATGGTTTTCTTAACTAGCTAATATTAAAAGTTTGTTTCATACAAAAAATGGGATTTTGCAACATTTTTAATAAGGGGAGGGAAGCATGAACCTCAAACTTCTGGCACTATTCCATAAGTAAGCACATGAAGTAGCTTGATAATAAATGTTTCTAGTACTTCACATTTCACTGGTGTGTGCAATGCCTTTTTTAGAGGGGGGTGGCAATCCAATGGTAGTGAATGTGTAATGGAAAAATTTAAAAAGCACTAAATCCAGTCTTTTTTGTATATTTTGTTTTGATACGGCTAGGTTATTCATAGGGTATTCCTAAAATGCCAAAAGATGTATCACTTGGATTTGACTTCCGTCATGTGGTGTACATTTAATTTGGTCTCCATATAGGAGTATGACATCCAATTTTATGTGCACTGTATATTGTTTTTTATGAATGTTTTATATACCACATGCAGAAATGTCCATATGCACTATTTAAATGCTTTAAATAATATATTCCTTCTTTATAGTGCTAAATCTATTTGAGTACCATATTTTTATAAGTCATCGGCTTAATTGGTTTCATTTTAGAATTAACAGCTACTTTGTGATTGGTTATTCAACGTTAATGTTTGGCTGTGAGTAGAGTAGGTAAATGGGGCATGGCAGCACTTATGCTGTGACAGTATTATGTTATCAGAGTTGGGCAGTAGGTGGTAGAATTTGGGAGATTATGGTAGTTTTACTTTGGTACAAATCAAAAGTGTATATCTATATACCGATATTATATAGATATATATGTCCACTAATATAATTGCATTGCTATGTCTGGCACATCATTGTATATAGAACTTTGTAATAAAAGAACTTCATTGTTCTAAGTCATTGTAAATGTATGTTTTTCCAGTAGGTGTCAAAAAAGTTGAGATTCTCATGTTTCCTATTCTTAATTTTAGGCTTGTGGTAATTACCCCACTCTGGACAACAGTATTACTGAGTGACTTGGGTGGCACAGTAAGGCAGGGAGAAGCCACTGACTACTTATCTTGTAGATAATTAGAGATAAGCTGCAGAAAGAAGAGTCAGCATTTATTGCTGTAAAGAATTATCCTATTAAGAAAACTTACAGTTTCTGAGAGAGCCTGGCCTAATGAAGACTGGTAGTAGTTTAAAAGTTCTTTTATTTGTTGCATACAGCTACTCTAGAGACTGAGGCAGGTGAATCCCTTGAGGCCAGCCTAGCCCAGGCAACACAGAGAGACCCTGTCTCAAGAACAAAATACAAAAATTCACATAATCAAATTTCAAAATCCAGGTCACTCCTGTAAGCTCAGTGCTGCAGTCAAATGATACTGCTTGGGCTAAAAGAACACATATTTTAAGGGGGCTTATGTAGCCTAGAAAAATTAAGTTTCCAAATACCAGTCTTATAACAGCTTTCTCACCATCTAGACAACTTATTTACAGTTTACAAATGCAACTTCTTATGACCCTGGTATGTCTTCCCTCATCTTTATTTTGGGAAACTTTAAATGTGCTATTTAAGAAGCTAGATAAAGTTCCAGTTTGAAATTATTAGTGAGACTTCTATATGTACTTCTGTCTTTTACACTTTGGCTTTTTCCGGGAAACTTCAAATTCTGAATAGAGGGAGGTTCTTTTACTTGGGTCATATATAATGTTTACACTAAGCCTTTATTCATTTATCCATGGCCAGAGGAAGTCAGAATATGGCATTTGAAAACACCAGCATTTCATATACTCTGAGAAAATTTTTTCCACATAATTATTAAACTATTAATAGATCTGCTATATGGGATATAAGCATTATTTTATACCCTCGCATTTCTAGAATCTAATAGACCTCAAAAGGACTTTATGTGTACTAGTGTATGTATACAGCAGGGCATATTATAATGTGTGAATTGGGGGTTTTTTGTGGGGGAGGTTGGGGGTTTTGTTTTTGTTTGGTGCTGGAACCTAGAGCTTTGTGCATGCTTGGCAAGCATTCTACCACTGAACTACCTTCCCTAAATTCATAGAATTTGGGTTCCATTCAGTGGCACTTCATTCTTAGAAATCATCTGATACTATAATTGACCCTGATGATACTTTGATGATAGGTGGTTTACTGTTCTGTTCTTCCTTCTTTTGCAGTGCTGGGAATTGAGTCCACGGCCTACGCACCACCCTACCTCCCTGCCCTTCCCCCTCTTTTTTGGAGACAAGATCTCGATATGTAGTTTAGGCTGGCCTTGAACTCATGACAGACCTCCTGCTTTAGCCTCTGAAGTGCTGGTATTACAGTCATTAAACCACCATGCCTGGCTTGTTTAATGCTTTTAAAGTTGAGTCTGAAATAAGTTTAGGTAATACATGAATAGTTCTTTGTTGGACATGTTCCATGATTGCTGCTTCACATCCTTACCTCCACTTGTCTTAGTGTTGTAGAGCTGAACACTTTCTCATCACTCGGTTTAGTTTTAAACTGATGTATTCTAATTCCTTCTCCACTGCCACAACATATAAAAAGAGTCTAGAAGATAGTTTAGAAGTTGTTAAAGAATGAATCAATATAGTTTAATATATAAAGACAGATTATTAGTGCTTGTAAGGGAAGATAGTATGGTAAGCTCCTAAAATGTGCTTTTATATGGCTGGTTGTAGCTCTGACATCTCTCAAGCTATGTGGAGAACAGTATCTGTTATACATAACAAATATAAATAGAAGTTTCTGTCATTCAGAAGTGTAAGGTTAAAAGTCTCTTTTTAAGCAAATGGGGCAGTGTGGTCTAATCTTAGGAAGTGGAACAAAAAAGAAGTGGCATCTCAACATAAGGGTATAGGTTCAGTTAAAAATATCACACATTCTCAATCCCTGTTTCATGGTGTCTCAGTACCCTGGTTACAACAAATGCTTACTTGTGGAATTCTTGTTGAGTGACAGGCTGGTAGTCATCCTGCAGTTCTGTAGAATAATACCTTTTCTCAAGCTTCTCTTTCCATTTTTTCATTGGCTCAGCTCTTTGAATCTCCTGTTTAGAGGACAAGTATGTGGCTTACAAAGCTTGAAATTATTTGTTCCTTATAAATCTTGTGAAACTCTGATTTTGGAGAAGGCTTTTTGATGACAATTTTCTGCAGAACGAGTTTAGACTTTTTATACCATTTTGCTCAGTTTTGACGTTTTATTTTCATAAAACTATCCATTTCAGTTTTTAAAATGTTACTTTTTGAGCTAGACAAGTCTTAGTGATATCTTTTAATTCTTTTATTTCCCCTGTTATAATTTATGTTATATGTTTATGCTTTTAACCTTTATTCCACTGATGTACTGATTTCTCTAGAGAACTAGCCTTTTTATTTTATATATTTTTTATAACTCATTCTGCATTTATCTTTATTCATTTCTTTTCTGTCCTCTATTCACCATTCTTACATAAATTAACTTTTTTCTTTTTATTGATAAATTTAAGACAACTCAGTTTCTCTTGATACTCTTTGACTTTATCTCATAAATAATATTTTATAATGTTGTTTCCCAGGAATTCTGTGATTTTATTTTGTATATCCTCTTTCATTCAAAGATTATTTAATAGGGTTTTAAGTTTTTTGGTCAAAGCATCCTCCCCTATTTATTTGTAGACAGTGTCTCCCTGAGTTGTCCAGGTTGGGCTTAAATTTGTGATCCTCTTGACTCTGCTTCCCAGAATGCTGTTTTCCGAAATATACCACCACATCCAACCATAATTTTCTCATTTTAAAATTTTATTATTTATATTTTTATTTTTTAGAATTTATTGTAGTTTTGTGGCCCAATAGATCAACTTACATTAGTAAGCTTTATAAGTGAAGTTTATCTTCTGAGAGTACAGAATGTAATATATAACCGTAATATCACCTTATTCGTTACATTGTTTTGGTTTGCTTTATCCTTTTATTTTTCTTCATCTGTTTTCTTTTGTGTATTTCTTTTTGTGCATAAATGTTTATAACTGTTGAAATCTTACCTTTGAGGCCTGGGGATTTCGTTCAGTGGTTCTGCTGCCTTCCTCACAAGGCCAAGGTCCTGAGTTTGATCCCCAATACCAAAAAAAATAAAAAAATAAAAAATCTCGCCTTTGAGGGCCTGGTGGCTCATACCTGTAATCCCAGCACTCAGGAGGCTGGGGCAGGGAAGTTTGCTGTGAGTTAGGGGCCAGCCTGGAATAGGGTGACCCTGTCTCAAGAAAACAAAAACTAAAATCTACCTTAGCCTTTATTATAAAGTTCCCTTCATGTAACTCAGAGATTTTTGTCTTAGTTTCCACTTCAACTTAATACTAAGTTATAGCCCTAAAATCTCTTTGTATTTAACATTTCTGAATCACCTTAAGGATGTATTTTAAAATACAGCATGGAACTAGATTTGCTTTGGGTCAACCTGGAAACTATTTTTTTAAATTAAATTAAGTTTATTTACATGCATTGTATTTTGTTATATTTTTTCGCCATGTATTTTGTTTTCTGTTCTCTGCTGCTTCTGCTGTTTAGGAATATTATTTCCCCTATTGTAATGTATGTAAGGTAGGTAGGTAGGTAGGTAGATATATATAGATATATCTATATATATCTATATATATATCTATATATCTATATATCTATATATCTATATATCTATATCTATATATATA